TCGGGGGAGAAATTCTTTAAGGGGGGAAGGTTATAATGATCCTGGTTTTTCCTTTTTGTATTTGTTGTATTCCGAACTTTGGTTCCGTGGAGTTGATGGTTGTATGTCTTGTTGTCATCCTTTAATTCCCTATGTTTGAGTTTTAGGATGTGTTGGGCGCGTTTCGAACAGGTTAGTTGAGCCTTGGTCTCATTCCTTGTTGTCCAGACTTTTGGTGGTCCGCTCGAGGGGATCCTTTTGCGCTCGAGCGGAGTTTGTTTTTGTTGTTGGTCCGCTCGAGCGGGTCCCTTTGTGCTCGAGTGAAATTTACACACTTCCAGTATCTGTGCCTCTACAAAACATCTGCAGACGTGTTTTTCACGCTCGAGCGAGTTTCCTTACGCTCGAGCGGGTCGCGCTCGAGCAGAGTGTTCATTTTCTGTGAAAGTTCTGGGAGAGGAGAATCTACGCTCGAGCGGACTGGTTCTCGCGCTCGAGCGGATGTGTTTTGTTTTTGTGTCTTGGCGCTCGAGCGGGCCTTCTTGCGCTCGAGCGGGTCCAGATTTTTGTGCTTGAAGCTCGAGCGTTCTATTCTCCGCTCGAGCGGGAGAGTCGTATATCAGTTGGCAGCTGGACATTTTTGAATCACTTTTCAACTTTTATTCTCTCTCTTACTTTCCCAAAAACCGATTTTGAGAGCTCCTCTCTCTAGAATCTTCCTTCTCTCTAGGGTTTGATCTAACTAGAGTGATTCACTCCCTTGGTGTCTTTGTAAAAAGTGTGTTGATCGTTGAGGGCTACATTTTGATTTGAGAATCTTGGGATTTGGAGCATTTTCGAGTTCTTCATCATTTCTTTTGGGTTTCATCTCTTGAGGTAGGGATTCCAACTCATCTTTATGATCTTTAACCTAAATGTAGAGCTTTTGTATAAATGGTTTGGTTTGGGAAGTTAGGGTTTGTAATGTATTATATTGAAAAAGAGGGGTTTTGTCTTTTTGACTCATATATATATATATATATATATATTTGGGGTCATAAAAAGAGATTATTGATGTTGTTGATAAAATTTGGACCTTTGGCTCAATATTGAGCTTAAAAGGAAAAATGCCATATTTGGGTATATTTGGATCATTAGTGTAATTAATGACATTTGTTATGAAATTGAGTTGGGGATAATGAAAATTGCTCATTATGAGATAGAATGGTGGAGTTGGATTTATAAATCGCTCACTTTTGAAAATGTCAATTATATATCTGTTGAGGCATTTATTATCTGTTTAGAAATAACTGCTTTGGGCTATCGGTGGAGGATAGTCTCGATTGTTGTAGACATTGCATGATGATTAGGTGAATTGAAACTAATCATGTTGTGTATTTGAATACATGGGTGCCGAATCCCGTGGATGAAATTTCCGTAAAATGGCCATTTGAATATAATTATACATGGGTGCCGAATCCTGCGGACGCAATTTTCGTAAAATGGCAATCCGAATATATCTATACATGGGTGCCGAGTCCCGCGGATGAAATATCCGTAAAATGGCCATAAGAGAATGAAAATACATGGGTGCCGAATCCCGCAGACGCAATTTCTGTAAAATGGCAGGTTGTAGTATTGGCATGAGATGTAGCCTCATTTAAGTTATTTGGCCATGTTCTGAACCATGTTTATAAGTTGAGTTTTGTTAAGTTGAACATTTATCAAGTGCTGATGTTTTAGTTATTGCTCATATTTTGTTTAGCATATTTGTACTGGGCGTTGGCTCACCCTATATGGGACATCATTTTCAGGTACAGGTAGCATGCCACCTCCAAGGGCATAGCTTGAGAGGCTTAGTGGCTGGGACATCTTTTGTGATTATATTTTTGTACTACATATATATCAAGCCAAGGGCTTATTTTGTGTATTGAGTTAGTACTCTCTTTTTGTAACCCAAGTGTTGACTTGGAAAGTTGTAAGCCTATAGGGCGTTTACTTTTGTTGTCAACACGTAATACATTTTGTAATGGATACTCTGATGAAATGTAATTATGCTTATTTCTTTTATGTCTGAGCATGCCAATATTGTACGAATTATGGGTTTATGTTGATGGCGTTACAGAACGGATGCCTCAGAAGGACGGCTACCCAGGTTCAGGTCCTTCCCTCTAGTGTCTTTTGTATTTCTTACCTTGTTTTGGATGTTGCTCTAATGAGTCATTTCTTTTTTACAGAGGCCTCTCGTTTTCAACGCAGGCCAAATTGGGAAAACACTAAGGCCATAAAAGCTGCTCTGAGCTACAAGAAGAGATCTGCGCCCGAGTTGTGGGATTACTAGTCGACTTACCGCTCCACCATTCCGAAGAAGGCGAGGCTTGCTGCATCCCTTCTGGATTCTGAAGTTGAGACTGACACATCCTTCACTCCTCTAGTTACGAATCGTCACCGAAGCCAAGGTGCACCGTCTGAGAGAATGCCCTCTCCTGTTCCCAGTTTCGCAGAGGGCGGGTCTGTGTTGAAGAGAAGAGTGCTGGTGGATTTGGAGGCTGAGGCTTTTGGCGCCTCCGATGTTTTGGAAACCCCTTTGGAAAAGGCCAAGGCGAAGAGCCTCATGGAAGTGAAATTGGAGGTGGGAGCTGCTAGGACCCCTGCTACTGTTGCCGAGCCCTCTGCTTTGGTTGCTGCGAGAGCAAAAAAGAGGAGGAGAGAGACTGGCAAGGCAGTGGTGGAGGAAGCTTTTGAGGATCTTGTTGAGGATGAGGCATTTGAGAAATAGGAGCCGCCGATGTTGCATCAAGGCAGGCCCATTTCTACTTCTGATTCGGTTGTTGCTTCCCAAGATTTTGCTTTTGATTTGACCAGGTTTCTGTTGATGCCGGTTGACATGGCTGACCATAATGGGCCCTGCGATATTCATATTCTAAAGGGGACCCTTCAGATGATGACTGCTGTAAGTGTTTTCTTCTTTTGCTTGTTTTTGATGTTATGCTGCTGTTTCCTTTTCTTTTAATACTTTACTGTCCTTTGTAGTGTATTCAGAGGATGCATCTGTCTATCACCCACGCTGAAGAACTAGAAAAGGTCGTGCTGGAGGCCGCAATGAATGCTGAGAGACTGACAGTGAGCCTGGAGACCGAGAAAGAAGGACGCTAAACTGCCGAAAAGGAGGCATTTCGTTTGAACAAGATTGTTACTTCAGCTGAAAAATCAAAGGAGGCTGCTATTGGGGCGCAAGCTTGACTTGAAGGAAAAGTGGTCGAGCTGGAGGCCGTTATCGTGGTGATGGTTGCCAAGCGTTCTGCATTGGAGGCCAAGCATTGAAAACAAGGTTGGGATGAGGCTGGGGCTGCCTATAAAGAGGAGGTACTAGTGCTGCGAGACAAGCTCTTTCTAAAGGGTTGGACGAGTGCTTTAGCAGCTGCCCTAGTTCCTGAAGGCTCTCCCCTATTTTAGGATGTCCCAGTTCCTTCAAGATCCTTGGGTTCAAAGATTGTCTCCACCCTGCTGTTCTTTCGGCTGAAGTTTCCCCAAAAATTGATTCTGCAAACAAGACTCCGGACAGTGATGTTGCCATTCAAACGGTGAATGTTGAAGGGGGTGAAACCCTAGAGACTGAAGCTGCGGGAGATGTGGTTAAGGAGGCTTCTACTTCTCAGGAAGTTGGAGCTGCCTCTACTTTTCCTCCCCAAGACGGCATGGACAAGATCGTGGACGTTGCTCCTGAGGTTCCCTCTGTTAATGAAAGTTGAAGTTTTCTCTGAAAGGAATTGAAGTTTTTGCTTTTTTGTTTTGATGTACTGTGGCTCGGTCCCTTTGACGAGTTTTCTCTCTATACTTGCCAAGACAATTTTTTTTTTTTTTTGTTGCTGGCTATGAGGCCATCTATGCCTTTTGTTGAATAAAGGGTTTTCCTTTTGAACTTGCAATCTGATGCTGTTTGGCTTTTATGTCTGAATGTTTTTTGTACTGTTTGCCCCCGGCCGAGCACCGTTGGGACCTCGGGGCCGAATAGATGCTCGGTCTCGTTCTGTACTGTTTGCCCCCGGCCGAGCACTATTGGGACCTCGGGGCCATACAGATGCTCAGTCTGGCTAACGAATATGTTACTTGGTTGTGTTTGATTTCATAATGAAAGGAAGAGGGTCTTACTTAGGTCTAGGTTGGTTCTAAAAAACAATTGTTTGCCCGCACTTGAAGCTAAGTAAGATTAGTACTGAAGATTGTGCTCTTAGGTAGAACTGCTTAAGTTTGTTGCAACTTTGATAGCACAGGTGCATTTGAATGGGATAAAGGCATGAAGAGGTGTCTTACTCAGGTCCAGGTTGGTTTGAAAAAAAACAATTGTTTGCCCCCAGCGGGAGTTGAGTATGACTAATGCTGGAAGTTTGCTCTTGACAGAGCTTAGCCAAGTTTGTTCCAACTCTATTTGTTCGCATTAGTACTGAAGTGTTGACGTGTTGATACTTAAGAAATTCTGTGGATTCAGAGATGCTTACTTAAGATATGTTAGTGTGGTTTGCACCAAGCAATTCCACTTGGCTAACGTCCAATTTAGTTGCAAAACACAATTCCACTAAGCAATACCACTTGGCATGTTTGAGTGCTAACCAAATTTAAATTATGTTCAGTCACTCTGAAACTAAGTCCATTTGGGTTAAGACCAAAGCTAATTCCGTTTGGTAAGGACCAAAGCTAATTCCGTTTGATAAACATCAGATAAACATCAAAGCTAATTTCGTTTGGTAAGGACCAAAGCTAATTCCTTTTGATAAACATCAAAACTAATTTCGTTTGGTGAGTACCAAAGCTAATTCTGTTTGATAAACATCAAAGCTAATTCCGTTTGGTGAGTACCAAAGCTAATTCCGTTTGATAAACATCAAAGCTATTTCCGTTTGGTAAGTACCAAAGCTAGTTCCGTTTGATAAACATCAAAGCTAATTACAAGAATTTGATAAATTTGAGAGAAGTGGGGAAGCATTTGCATTGGTCAATAGATAAATACCTTTACATTCTGATAGAGAAGTTGGGGGATAATTCTATTGATAGTATTTCTTGAGATTTGCTACATTCCAGGGCCGAGGTATAGCTCTACCTTTTAGATCCTCTAGGTAGTAAGCTCCATTTCCAACAACAATTGTGACTTTGTATGGACCCTCCCAGTTAGGCCCAAGTTTGCCCTCGCCAGGCACCCTTTTGTGATCCATAACTTTCCTCAAAACCAGTTCTCCAGGTGTAAATTGCCTTAGGAAAAATTTTTGGTTGAAACTCTTGATGAGCTGCTGCTGATACACTACAAGTCTGATCAGTGCTGCTTCTCTTCGGCCCTCTGCCATATCTAGTGCTTGTGCAATAGCTTCCTCATTATTGGTGCTTTCAAACAATTCAGACCGAAGGGTTGGGAGACCTACTTCGAGTGGGATGATGGGCTCCATTCCATAAGTTAGGGAGTGTTTCCCCTATTGAATGCCATGTTGTGGTTCGGTAGGCCCACAATACGTGGGGTAACTCTTCAACCCATTTGCCTTTTGCATGTTCAAGCCGTTTCTTTACTCCGTTGATGATGGTTTTGTTTGACGCTTCTGCCTGTCCATTACTTTGTGGGTACCCTGGAGAAGAGTTCCTATACTCAATCCTGAGGTCAGCACAAAACTTTCTGAAGTTCTTACCATCGAACTGTGTTCCATTGTCCGCAATCAGTATTCGCGGGATGCTGAAATGCGCCACCACATTTCTCATGACAAACCGCTTTGTATCCACTTCTTTGATACTTGCCAGCGCCTCGACTTCAACCAACTTAGTGAAATAGTCGGTTGTAGCAATGAAGAATTGCCTGTTCCCAGTGCCTCGTGCCAATGGTCCGACAATATCCAGACCCCATTGGGCAAAGGCCCATGGGTTGTTGAGTAGAGTGAGAGTTTTGGCTGGCTGATGAATGAGTGGAGTGAACCTCTGACATTTATCACACTTCTGTACATACTGCTACGCATCTTGTTGCATCCGTGGCCACCAATACCTATGAGTGAGGGCTCGGTGCGCCAGTGACCTTCCACCAACGTGGCATCAACAAATCCCATCGTGAATTTCGTAGAGAACATTCTCGACCAGATTTGGATGCACACATAGAAGATAATGGCCAAGATAGGAGCGTCTGTACAGCTTCCCAGATGATGGGATCCAAAATCGAGCTGACTTATGTCTGACTTTGTTGGCTTCCTTTTTGTCTTCGGGGAGAGTATCGAATTTTAGAAAAGCAAGTATCAGATCCATCCAGCTCGGCTCTAGGTTGCTGCAGAGGACTGGAGATGCAATGCTTGGTTCTGGCATGAACTCAACCCAAACTTTTCTAGCATCTTTGGTATCCACTGATGAGCTGAGGCAAGCCAGAGCATCAGCGTGGCTGTTTTTGTCCCGACTAATTCATTTCACTCATATGGATTGAAACTTTTTGAGCAAGTCTCTGGCCTTGCCTGCGTACATAGCCATTCTTTTTTCTCGTGTTTCATAGACCCCAGAAAGCTAGGTTACAACTAGTTGTGAATCGCTGAAAACAAGAAGCTGTTCTGCACTGAAGTGTTCGGCACTACGTAAGCTAGCCAATAACGCTTCGTACTTTGCCTCGTTGTTTGAAGCCTTCCAATCGAGCTTGAAAGTCTGTTCCCAGATAAATCCATTTGGTGAGATAAGTACTACTCCTGCCCCTGAGCCTCGGTTATTGGACGACCCGTCAACATAAAGCTGCCAAATGTTTCCAATAAAGAGTTTCCATGCTTCTGAAGCGCAGGGCTTTCCTTGTTCGGTGGTGCATGACACCTGTGCCGAACTCGGATTCCCCGGCTCGGTACTCTGGGTGGGAGCAAATTCTGCGATGAAATCTGCTAAGACCTGGGCCTTGATCGCCGTCTTGGGTTGATACTGAATGTCAAACTCACCAAGTTCTACCACCTATTTTGCTGTTTGGCTAGAGAAATTAGCTCAGCTGAATACAGATCTGAGGGGGAATTCAGTGAGGACGTTAATGGTATGGCCCTGAAAGTAATGTTGTAACTTTCTTAAGGTGATAAGCAGCGCGTAAGTTAACTTTTCCAATGGTAGATACCGTTTCTCAACATCTAGTAAAGTCTTGCTAACATAGTATACTGGCCTCTGTTCCTTGTTAATTTTTTGAATTAATACTGTGCTTACGGCATGATCTGAGACTGCAAGATATAGGTACAGCTCCTCTCCTGGTTCTGGAGTGGACAGAAGAGGTGGTGTGCTAAGGTATCTTTTGAGACTTTGCAGTGCTTCGGTACATTCGCAACTCCATTCAAACGCTGCCATTTTCCTCAATAGCTGGAAGAAGGGCTTCATCCGATCTGAAGATTTGCTGATGAATCGATTTAGTGCGGCCGCCATTCCGGCCAGTTTCTGCAGCTCTTTAGCCTTTGTTGGTACTTCCAGATCTTGTATTGCTTTGATTTGATCCGAATTCGCTTCAATTCCTCTGTGAGTGACCATGTATCCCAAGAACTTTCCTGTTTCTACCCCGAAAGCGCATTTTGAGGCATTGAGGCAAAGCTGATGGTTTTTCAAGATGCCAAAAACTTCTCTCAAGTCTGTGAGGTGGTTTATAGCGAGCTTGCTTTTCACTACCATATCATCTATATAAGCTTCCATGCTTTTCCCAAGTTGGTCCTTGAACATCTGAGTGATCATCCGCTAGTAGGTTGCCCCAGCGTTCTTGAGGCCGAACAACATTACTTTGTAGCAGTAAGTTCCCCTTGGAGTGATGAATTCTGTCTTTTCTTGGTCTGGATCGAACAGTGGTATCTGGTGATAGCCGCTATAAGCGTCCAGAAAGCTCATGTGCTCATGCCCTACTGTTGAGTCTACCAGTTGATCGATGTGAGGCAGCGGAAAGCTATCTTTAGGGCAGGCTTTGTTTAGGCAAGTAAAGTCAATGCAAACTCTCCATTTTCCATTCTTTTTTTTTACTGCGATTGTGTTGGTCAGCCATTGCGGGTACTGAACTTCTCTGATCGCTCTCGATGCCAGGAGTTTTTTGACTTCGGCAATTACTGCTTCAGTGTGCTCAACTGAGGATCTCTGACTTTTCTGTACTACGGGCCGAGCGGAAGGGTTGATGTTGAGCTTGTGGCAAGCGAATTCTGGGTCCAACACTGGAGTATCATATGCTGACCATGCGAGTACCTCTATATTTTCCCTCAGCAGTTCCAGCAGCTAAAGTTTCTCATCAGCGCCTAGCGAGGTACCGATAAGGAAGTACTTTTCTTGATCATCCTCTTTACCAGGACTTTCTCCAAATCCTCTACTATCTTTTTCTCTGAGGCTCCCCCTACATCTTCCAAGACTGGTTGTTCGGCCACTTCCACTGTCTGTACCCGGTTGCAGAGTTGCTTTTCCTTTCATGCCGCTATGAAGTAATGTTTGGACGTAACTTGATCCCCTGAGATCTGCTCTACTCCATGTTTTGTTGGGAAATGGATGAGTTGGTGGTAGGTTGAAGGGACCGCCTCCATTTGATGAATCCATGAATGGCCAAGTATGGCGTTGTAAGGGGATGGTGTATTTATAACTAGAAACTCTATCTGGAGGGTTTTTGTTTCAAGCAGCCATTCCGGCTGTGAATTGAAGCCAACTAACGGAGCTACCGCTGGGGTGAGGTGCTGCTCGGAGAGACCAAGCTTTCTAAACAAGTCATAGTACAATATGTCTGCTGCACTGTCTTGATCTACCAGGACTTGTTTTACATCAAACCGTTTCCCAATTCCCACAGTTATAATCAATGCATCAGTGTGTGGGTGCTGTATGCCTTCTAAATCCTTTCTAGTAAATGAAACAGTGCACAATGGGGATTTGGGTATCACGCGTACCTTTTTCGATGCAGGCTGTGATATCCCTGTTCCGCAATATGTTAATTGGTCCTTAATATGAGTATGGTTATGTGTTTAACTTGATTTTGTGTGCCATTATATGAAAATATGTGGTTTTGAATTTCTATCTGTTCACCGTAGGAATATCTGTTTGATTGTCTGCTTTGAAAATTAAATTGAAGGCCCTATCGGCCACCGAAACTGAAATTGGTCGCACTATTGTGATTGGCATAATTTTTAGAGCCTACGGTGAAATTTGATTGAAAATTAATTTGGATCAGATTAAATTTATTAAATTGATGAATTAGTGCCCAATTACTTTATTATTATTATATTAGAATTAGTGGAATTGGTTGTAATAGAGCACTACACCCTCAATTCTCTCTTTATAGCTTCATTTGGCTGATTTTGAACTCAAAGAAGAGAGAGGGCTGGCTATAGAGAGAGAGAGGGAGAGAATTGTGTAATCTTGGCTCAAGGTTTGGGGAATTTGAAGATTAAACTCAAGAAATTGCTATAGTTTGGTAGATTGAGCTCCTAGGTAAGGGAATTCATGAGTTTAATGTTGTAAATTGTGGATTCAAGTTTGATTAATGGTCAAGAACATGAGTTAGATTGATTATGATGAAATTGAGTTGGTTTTGTTGAATTTGAAGTCTTAGAACACATGCATGTAAAAAATTGCCATAAATTTATATGTTTGAGCATAAAGTATGTAATCTATGTTGAGTTTTGATTAATGACCATGTATTTGATCATCTCTTCACCAATTAATTTGAGGATATTGTGTATATTTCACATGCAAGTGCAAATCATAGGAGTTTGAGTCTTGCATATTTGAATCTAGTGTGTTGGTGATGAGGTTGAGTTAATTTGAAACATGCATGGGATTAAATTGTGAATTTGAGCTTCATTGTGTTGTAATTTGGTGTTTATACCATGCTAGAATATGTATATGTGAAGTTTGAGCCTAAATCATGCATTTGGAACCTTTGAACATCAAATTGAAGCTTAAGAACATGTTCTGGATTTTCCAGAATTTTGATGTCCGCTCGAGCGGGGAAACCGCCGCTCGAGCGTGAAATTCGCGTTCCCAATATTTTCTGCAGACATGGTGTCTGCTCGAGCAGGGAAGTTCACGTTTGAGTGGGGAGCCATGCAGAGAGGCCTTTCGGTCGACCACCAAGGTTTGCGATCGAGCGTAAATTTGATATATCCAGTACTTTTGCAGGCCTCGTGGGTCTGCTCGAGCGGGAAAGTCCACGCTTGAGCGGGGACCCTGTTTTTTGAAATTTTGAAAACGCATTCTGTGTTCTGTTTTCCATTCTCTTTCACTTGCAAGCACTCTTAGGCATACATTGAGCATTATAAATGAGTTAAAGAGATAAGAATGAAGCCTAAAGAGGAATATGGGGAATTTAGAACGGATTGAATTGTTTGTGACCCTTTTGTGTTCATGGAATGTGTAGGGTCCAGCTCCAGGGAAAACCAACCAACCGATCACTGTGAGTAATATCTTAACAAAGATATTTGAAATATGTTGTTGTCCAAATTACTTACTTCTATGTAAGTTTTATAAGTTCGTTGATTCGATTAGTGGACAATGTTGCTATGCCAAATGAATGGGCCAGAGGCCAGTTTGAGCTAAATAATAGAGTGAATGGGCCAGAGGCTGTTTTGACAAGAATGAATGAATGGGCCAGAGGTCGTTTTGACATGAATGAATGGGCCAATGGCCGTTTTGACATGAATGAATGGCCAGAGGCCGTTTTGACACGAATGAATGAATGGGCCAAAGGCCGTTTTGACATGAATGAATGAATGGGCCAAGGGTCATTTCGATACTAATAAATGAATGGGCCAAAGGCCAGTTGAAATAAATGAAAATATGAATTGGGTCCAAGGCCGTTTGAAGTATGTTATTCTACATATCGTTTGTATAACTTCTTTATTTGATATTTTTCACTGGGCTATCGCTCACGCTCATTCATGTGTCTGTAGGTGAGCCAAGAGAAGTCCAGACCCAGCCCCAGTAATGTCTGTGTGGAACAACAAAGGTTTTGAAGAGTCAGCCCTTGCGTCTCACGCACGAGACCCGTCTTGGCCTTTTGTCATTCTGTTTTATATTGTCATGTGGGTGAAGTCTTTGAATACATTGTATATAGTTTTCTTGGGTTGACTTAGACTTATATGATCCTGTATGTACAGAACCTTGTGCAGTAGATATTTGTTGTAAGTTATTAGTATGCGTATGTATGGTTTGTTATGATGTGCCATGTAAGCACAGCTCTATGGACAAAGTTTTAAACTGCTTCCGTTTGGCCCCCATTAACTCTGTTAACATACTTTTGGTAAGGTTTGAGGCCGTAGGTAATCTCATGATTACTGGTCGGTTATGTCCTCAACCCACGAGGGCGGGTTCGGGTACTGACATGACCTGCTGAATCTGCATAGCCATAGCAATCTCTTCTTTCAATGTCTCCTCAGGTTCCTGAGTCGCGTTTCATGGATCACATTTATTATCAACCGAGGTGGGTGCTCAATATTCAGTTCTGGTGGTGGGTTCCCCGGTTAGGTCACTTCCTTATCTTGATCATTGTAATCCCGGAGGTGTCCAGTTGCTACTAGGTCCTCCAAGTGTTGCTTCAGTGCCCTGCAGTTCTGAGTCATGTGCCCCCTGTCTTGATGGTAGGTGCATTGGAGCTTCTGATTGCGCCGAGCCTGATCTCCCAACATTTTCGACGGCCAAACAAAGAAGGGCTCTCTCTTGATCTTTTCTAGGATTCAATAGATCGGCTCTTTGAATGCAGTCACAATGGCATCGTGAGATTTGGACTTATCCACTTCATTCACAGTGAGCCCCCAGTGTTCCCCTCGATCTGTTCTCTTCTTGTGTCGAGCTGTTTGTTCTGCTGATGCTACTTCGATGGGGATCTGATCATCTTCGAGGCGAGCGTATTGCTCAATCCTGGCATGCAAATCTTTCAATGCTGTGGTCGGGCACTTGGTAAGTGATTATCTCAACTTACTTTCTGGGCGCAGACCATGTTTAAAAGACGTGACGGCCATCTGCTCACTGCATACATTTTCCTCCAGGTCATTGCACTCTTCCCAGTACCTCCTAGCATAACTGCGTAGCGTTTCCTCCTGCTCCTTTCGGAGGCCGAATAGTGTATCTGGCTCCTTCGGGATCTTAGTGTTGGAGACGAACCTGGCTAGGAACTCTTCGGAGAGCTGCTTCCAGCCATGAATCGATCCAGCGGGGAGTCGATCGAACCATCGAAGTCCAGTTTCTCACAAGCTGGATGGGAAGACTTTACACATCAGTGCCTCATCTCGGCTCCATAGAGTCATCATCTGTTTGTAATGGCAAATATGTGTCAGCGGGTCCGACTTCCATCGTACGAAGTGAACTTTGGTAGGGTGAATTTCTTTGGAGGTCTCATGGTCTCAATCTCTGGGGAGAATGGCGAGGAGACAAGCCTATCCAGCGCTCGGTGCTCTCTCTGGTGAACGGTACGGTCCAGATGATCCCGATGTTGCTCGTTCTGCTTGTTGCCGATCAACCAAGTACGAAGGTCTTGAGGAGGGTATTCAGTCTATTGGCCAATCGTCTTCTGCCTCTTAGCCCTTCTTTCGCGTGACCTACGGGTGTGGCTGCTTGCCGCCTCACTCTGTACCGGGATAGGATGACTTTGTTGCCCAGACTCATTTCTGGGGAACTTCTTCACTGGCGGCTCTCTCGATGAGCTCCTCCGTCGCAAGCGAGACGGCTCTGCTTTAGTCTTATTTTCTGTTGGCTCACCCAGCACCCTTTTAAGT